ATAGTGGATTGAAACATCTACAAAAATACCTGGAATTACATCCTGCATTCTGTAAATTTCAAAATCCCAGATTTGGTTTTTTTTTTTGTTGAATGCGTTTCCTCTTGAAACAAGTTCAAAAAGTCACGTGGTCTGAGTTTGCTTAAAAGTATTAATTTTAAAGGTGGTTGGGGTTTTGGGTTTTTTTTGAGGGGTGGGGATAGGGCAAGCTCCAGTATCATATATTCCTATTACATGGGGATTCCCTAAGTTTGTTTCATCTTAGGAAGGTGACCTTAATCCTTGTTGGTACAGCTAGCAGAGTGAGAATGGTATTTTATGCCAGTGTGTTGAAAGGCTCATCACCAGAAGTGCACAGAGGCACAGTGGGCGTGGGGGGGACACAACACACACCCCATTAATCTTGTTAGAGGGAGCAGCCCCTGATTCTGTCACTGGAGAGCCATCAGCCCCATTGCCCAGGTGTGACGTGCATCAAGATCATAGAATCATAGAATCATAGAATCATAGAATGTTTATACGTCAACATAAAGGCTCTCTGGAACAGCTTACAAGGTTGAGGGGGGTAACTGCTTACAGAATATGGGACATAGTATGGGTTGCAGGAGAAAAGCATCTTATGACTGTACAAAACTTATTATGGGATGCTTAGGGGAGGGACTAACAGGAGGAAACAAGGTGGTTTGAGGAGGAACAAGTGTGGGAAAATAGAAGCATAAGGGGATAATGGGCCCGGTCAGTTGTAAACAAGTGGCTGGTCAGTATATTTGGCCATGTCCTGTGCCAGATTACCACAGCCTGTCCTCTTTTCTCATTAAGCTCCTTAAGCTCCATTTCTGATTTCCTGGAGGAGAGGACTCTCTGCTATACTCATGTGTGCATACTGAGGCCTACGTGCCAGCAGCTGGAGCAGTACCGTAAGTTATAGGGACCTCTGCGTGTGGTGTGCCAGCAACTGGAGAGACTGGAGTGAGTGAGGGTCAAAATGACAGCAGCCAGGGTGGAGATCGTAAGTCACGGAAGCTTGTGTGTCAGGAGTACTAGTAACTGGAGAGACTAGAGTGCATGCATCTTGTCTTGGCAAGTATGCCTGTGTGTGGGTGCTGGTGAATATCGTGCAGGGCTAGCCAGTGAGTAGGGTAAGAGGCTTGGGAGCCAGGTTTTGAGGCAGCTGTAAGTGTGCGACAGGTACTAGTAAGATCAGAGGGTCTTCAGTTTGGTGATACGAAAGTCCAGGAGGGAGGGACTGTGAGATCTGGGGGTTGTTTTGGAGGCTCGTGGGCATGTGTGTGTCTGAATGAGGCAACTGGAGACAAAAGGATCCAAGGGCTAGTTATTGAGTGGACTGAATGTCCAAGGCTATTTACTGGGGGATCATGGTATGCCTGTGGGGAGCTGCGGGGGAGTGTGTATCTGGGTGAGGAGGTCTGTACCAGCCACTGCAGTGGGGCTCTGGGGAGGCTGTGGGGATTCCGGGTTGGTTCCTGGATAGATGGAGTGTCTGGGGCCGGTTATGCATGTGTGTATTCCCCACTAACGGACTTTTGTCCTGGTCAGCTGGGGAGAGGAGAAGCGTAAGGCCACACCATGTTTGCGTTTGCATGAACACTGGTTTTAGCTGGGTTGATCTGTATGTTCAGCCATAGGTATATGCATGTTTGCATATGCAAGTATGGGAATACATCCTCAGCCTTGTCACTGGCTGGACCTGGGGACAGAGTTGCAGCAGCCTTGTCTCCATTGGGCTGCCAGGTTCAGCATCCCCTAACACAGAAAAATTACCTTTTCTGTAAGTTTGAAGATGCAGAAATAATGGACTCACAAAACTTAAACGTGGAGGCAAATCTGCAATGACTGTTAAGTTGTGATAGAATTTTAAAATATTGTTTGGTCTGATTGATATGAATAAGGCTACCTACATGAATATCTAAATACATATATTTGTTTAAGCTGCCATGTAAAGAGCAGTGGAGTGTAAATTAAATTTAAACCTAGGCTTTTGTTGTAGGTGTTTTTTTAAAATAGTGTCTGTTTTTTAACTCAAGAGAAATAAAAACAGGAATAAAAATGGGGAACTTTTAGTGACCTGGTAGGTTTTGCACTTACCTTTTCCCTCTCTGTATGTCATAGAATCTTAGCATCACAGAATGGTTTGGGTTGGAAGGGACCTTTAAAGATCATCTAGTCCAACTCCCTGCCATGGGCAGGGGCATCTTTCACTGGATCAGGTTGCTTAAAGCCAGTGTTCATCCAACCTGGCCTGGAACACTCGAATATTTTGCATGCCTTGCCCCTGAATAAATGCCTGTATAGAAAACAATGTCGACAAAGAGTCTGAGTGGGGATGCTTATCGTTATAAGAACTGACCTTCCTTGTAGACATTTTCTGGTTCTATTCTAATGCTATAGCATTCAGTTATTTTTGGTGACAGGTTAAAAGACTCTACTTATGTAAAATATTAAGATAATATAAAAAAAGTGAAGATTTCTGTCCTGTTTACTGTTAGGAGTTCACAAACATATGGATACACACACATATATAGTGCTCCAGACTGTTGATATAAAATTGATAGAATGATGAGCAGATTACTTTAGATGGAAAACTCTAACTAGAGGCATTTCACATGAAATATGAAGTACAGCTTCAGCATCTGTCCCTACCTGCTCCCATAAATCTTCTTTGCTTGTGGAATACTGCCAAATCAACTTCTGATTTCCAAATGTGATGAATGCACTTTTTTCTCTTTTAACATTTCCAATACACTTAAAGTGTTTTTTTTCCTAAAGAATCTAATTTTACATAATTCCATAGTTTAATAAGCAGCAGCTATTTTCAAGTGATTTTCTTTCTTTTTTTCTCCAAGCAAGAGTAATTTTAACAGCTGTTAGAGCAGATAACTAAAATTGTATGGCAAAGAGACACCTAATATTGAAAAGTGGAACAATGGAGACTTTTTCTTGAAAGTGCTGCAGCTATGCTGTGTGCATGCATAGATTTTTATTTTTTTGCCTTTTAATATGCTGAAGGAAGACATTGTTTTATTCTGGTCCCCTCCCTTTATGTATTGCAAACTTTGAGGGGACTTTGTGGTGATAGATGGGGAAAGTAAAAACAATTTAAAAAAATTAATACAGTGGATACTTTTCAGTGTCATAGGCTGCTTGTGCATATAGTCTTCAACTTAGTCATTTTTTCAAGGCCTGGATCGCAAATGATAATACAGTCAGTTTTATATTTGTGATGTCTAAAAGCAATTGTTAGTGTCCACCAAGATGTAGTACTGAACTGAGGGAGGACAATGTATGGTTAGAAAATTGTATAATGTGCTTTTTCATATTAAAGAACTACAGCTCCTTATCAACCACAGTTATAATTAGGTGAATTTTATACAGCCTTGAAGTTTCTTGATTTTTATTTTGTGCTTCAAGTTGTGTTTCCAGTTTTCTTTCCTTTTTCTAGCAGTGTGAAAAGAAAAGCGTATCACATGTTAGAGCTTCTTCGCTCTCAAGTGATCTAGAACTGCATGTGTGCAGTAAATGATGATTTCTGGAAGTCCCAACGTAACAGTACGCACTCTTGTTTTCTGTCCTCTCTGCTTTCCCTTCAGGAGAGCACTCAGACAGACAGAAAGCTGGTATTTGGAGTGTGTGTTGCTGAACAGTGATTCATGCAGCTTGCTTGGGGTCGGTGTTTTTCCAATAGACTCTGCACAAGCTAAATGAGTTGTTTTGGTGGCTGCAGCTCTTTTCTGATCGATGTTTTCCATCGATGCTCTGTACATTCCATAATTTTCTTTTTTTGGCTCCCTAACTAACTAAATTGGGTTCTGCCCGTTGACATTAAGAATGAGGCTAATGGAGAGAACATCATCAACTCGTTTGTAAGGCACTGGCTTGAATCCAGTATGTATTTAACAGTCAATGTTTTTGTAGTTTAGTCATGAATTATTAGAAAATATCTCAACCCTTTGCAAAGATGAAAGGGCCTGAGGCCTCAACAGCCTGAAGTTGGTTTGCAAGTGTTTTATATATAAAAATTCACTCTTGTGTCAGATGTATAAAGCTCCCTTTATGCAGGTGGTAGATGCTGATTTTGTGTAATTTTATACAAGTGGTCACCCAAGTCCTTTAGTTTTTGAAGAGCAAGGGTGTGGCTGAAGTGAAGGTTTTTTTATTACTGGAATACAAGGTTTTTGATGTATAGAAGAGGCCTTAAGGCTGATGGGTTTTCTTATCTTCCTCCAAATGCCTTTTAAAAATGGGTGTTTCTGTATGAAAACTCACATGTTGTCTTACTTTTTCTTCCGAATGTCTATCCTCAGTACTTCCTAAAAGTAGAAGGAAAGCTGCCCTACTTTGAGAGTAGATTTGCTTTTATGACTCTTCAAAATCTGCTTTGACATCTGTTAAAGAATTCCTGTAATATACTTACTCTTGGAGTTTAAGTACATCTCATGACCATATTGTATCTTGACCTGTACATTGCCTTTGATCATCATCTTTTAGCTTTGTAAAAGACTTAGGTATTACATTTTAAAGCATTGATTTCTTGGGACAAAGAGAATAAAGAAGTGAACATGTATTACAATTTTATAATTTAGATACTGCACTTTATACATTCTTGTATAAATATTGTATAAATATAATGAATGGTTTTTGTGTGTACAGTCACTATCATGATTTATTACTGTCCTTTATAATTTTAAGCTGAAGAATATATGGTAGGCTTTTTGCACTAAATTTATCAATGGTTGTACAATTTTATATGCATATTTGCATTGCTCTTGTACTTAAACTTCCATGCAAGTCCAGCGGAGCTGAATCTGAGCTAGAACTGAGATCTTTGCTTCCAGAGATCTAGTCCTTGATTTCTTCCTATAGTTTTAGATTTGATTTTTGTGTTAAGCAGCTTTAAGCTTAATGTATTTTTCACTTGTCTTTGACAGTGTATTACCCTCAGGAGATGGCCTCTTCTAAGTCTTTGATGAACCTTCTAACCTTCACTTTTGGATCAGCAATAGGATTTTTCGTATGCTATCTTCTATTTAGCATTATACTAGAAGAACAGGTTAAGGTCCAGCCTCATATCCTTCACAATGATCCACATGGTCAACACTCAGCAGATACTGATAACAATCAGCTTCAAGGACAAATGAATTTCAATGCAGACTCTGGACAGCATAAAGGTATTTTGTTCCGCCTGAATAATTATACAATATGCCCCCTTTTCATGCATTGCAAAATGTTGCTTTTATCACTGCCAAGAATTTGTGTGAATCCTTTTCTTTCGCTTTCCCTGTGTTCAGGTTACATCTAAACAACTTTCTCCTGAGGTCTCCTGAATGGTGGTTTTCTTTGCTTGCATTTTTATTACAGTAGTAGTTTTTTTTCTTGGAGCCCAACTGTTTGTCCAGCTTCTGTATCCTGACTTGTTTGTAGCAGGAACTTTTCAAATGAAGTATTGACATCAAGTGGTGGTTTTGCTAAGCAGGTATCTTTGCTAGCATTGTGGGTGTGGCTGAACTGCTTTTTAGTTTTAAGAAGCTAATTTCAGACCACTTCTGATTTTTTTTATCTAGCCTCCCAGATAAAGCTGAAAAAAAAAGACATTCACTTTTTGACACAATTAGGAAAACTTGGAATGGGGGCAGAGGGGATCACTGTGGGTGTTGTTTGCCAAGATGATCATGCAGCAGTCCAGACACAGATTAATGTTGGTGGTCAAAACCAGAAATTCTGTTGCACTCTGGGTTTGGGGTTTTTTTCTTTTTTTTGGGGGGGGGGAAAAGTTTTTTGGTTTGTTTTTTTTTTTTTTCAAAGAAGGTAGAATATTTCAGGCATACTTTTAAATTTGGCACATCTCATTTAAAAATAAGTTCATTCTAAATCCTAACTACAGATAGCGTCTGAGCTGGGACAGTTTGGATGAGAAAAAATGCACTAAAATGCATTTGCTGAAGATGTTAGTAAGTAATTTGCTATTTAAATGTATTTAAACTGAAAACTTTGTAAGACAAGTTTATGAGTGTTTCACATCTAATTGTCAGGACCAGTTAGGCGGATCTCGCTCTCCATGGAATGTTCTTTCACGAGTTAAAATCATGCTGTATGCATCAAGTGAAAATGTTTCTTTGAGGGAAATGAATACTTTGGCAGCTTGAAAACATTATATTACACACCTCGAAAAACTGTATCTATTTATTCTTTTGGATTGTTTGCAAATTATTCTAGCACAACAATAATACTAGTTTCATAGTATCCTAACTTATTTAATCTGATTTTTTTTACAAATAAGATTTAACTTGATTTGGTGATAAATTCTTTCTGGCTTACCATCTGCTTTTTCCTTCAAAAATATGTTGCTGTTTTAGAAATACTTACTAGGTTTTGTTAGTTAACATGAATATATATAACAGACCTTATTAGCTTTTTGACCTTTCTGTGTTGTAATCGTTGTGTTCACTGTGAATGGCAAAAATACTGAGCTTTTTAATGTTCATTAGTCCTCTGAACAGTTTTTATGTACAAATCAAGGTTTTTTAAAGCCACACTTCCCTGAGCAGATACTGTTTTGATATGGCTCTTATGCTTGCCTTTATCCTGTGAAGTTGAAGTAGCTTTAAGAATTTTAGTTTCTTGATTTTAGGAAGTCTTGTTTGTTTTCTTCCTAAATCTAACATTAATTTCATTAACTGGTAAATTTGGAAGCAGATGCCTCTTCTATCTCTGTATGTCTCTTCTGATCTAGAAACAGGATGTCTGGGGGGAGGTTGCTCTTACATTTGTTTTGCAATGAAGTCTAATACTGTTTTGGAACTTTCCTCTTTTTTTTTTAGATGAGAATAAAAATATTGCAGAGGGACTGTATCAGAAGGTGAAAATACTGTGTTGGGTCATGACTGGACCTCAAAATCTAGAAAAGAAAGCCAAGCATGTTAAGGCCACTTGGGCCCAACGTTGTAATAAAATACTTTTTATGAGCTCTGAGGAAAATAAAGACTTCCCAGCTGTGGGCCTAGAAACCAAAGAAGGCAGGGACCAACTGTACTGGAAGACTATTAAAGCTTTTCAATATGTATATGACCATTATTTTGATGATGCTGATTGGTTTATGAAAGCAGATGATGATACATATGTTATACTGGACAATTTGAGATGGCTTCTTTCAAAATACAGTCCTGAACAACCGATATACTTTGGAAGAAGGTTTAAGCCTTATGTGAAACAGGGCTACATGAGTGGAGGAGCAGGATATGTTCTGAGCAAAGAAGCTCTGAAGAGATTTGTTGCTGCATTTAAAACGAACAAATGCTCTCACAGTTCTTCAGTTGAAGACCTAGCACTAGGAAAATGCATGGAGATCATTAATGTGGAAGCAGGAGATTCTAGGGATTCAAGTGGTAGAGAAACCTTTCATCCCTTCGTACCAGAACATCACTTAATCAGAGGATACCTACCAAAAACATTCTGGTACTGGAATTATAATTATTATCCTGCTGTAGAGGTAAGCCCTTAGGAACTTGGTACCCATTTTATGAACTATATCTTATGATGTGTGTGAATGTGTATGACATGTGAATTAGCAGTTTAATAGCAGCTCAATATATTTTAGAAAAGATTTTGTTGTGATATCCCATGATACACCTGTGTGTGAATGTGTTAAATACACTAGTCATCAACTGGAAGTTGATGCTAAGAACTTAGCGTTCCGAAAGAGCTAGTGAATCTTAAATTATTATTGCAGTTTTTCTATGTTCTGTTTACAGCAAAAAAATGATGAAACTTTTTTGACACGTATGTCTGGTGCCACTACTACTACCTTCCTTGCAAAGTTGCAGTTCTGTTTTGTTCCCTCATCTCTTGCACACAGTGTCCCTAGCTTCTCCAGCCGCCCAGCTCCCAGTGTGCAGTGAGAAGTGAGACCAACATGGTTCATTCCAAGCTGTGTGTGCTGGCTGTACAGAGCCAGGTCCAACAGTATGGCTTAGTTACGTTAAAGCCTACTGACAGAGAAGGTGGCACTGATACACCTTTATCTTCTACCCAACAGCAAACTTTGCATAAGACCTGTAGAAATAGAAGTGATTTTGAGACTTGCTCGTGCTTGCAGTTGGTTAACATTGACTATGAGATTCCCAAGTTACTGGAGGGGTTGGTGGGTAATGGTGAGCGTGAGCATGCTGCCTGCTAGTCGTCCTCCCCTCTGGTGGAGATGTGCTGCTGTGTACTTCTCTTACCACTGATAACTGTGTGCAATGTGTTACCTGGCATGAACGCTGGTAGCTGCCCTGCCCTCCCTTTTTTATCGAAGGTTGTTAAAATGTACATGTAACTGAATTCGGTGGAAAAGATTATAGAAGAATGTTGCCTAGAAGTGAAATAAAAGCATGACTCAAAAAAGGAAATATGATTAGATTTCCTTATGTAGTTGTGTTGGACTCTTGTCTACCTTCTGTGGAAGTGGAGGCAAGCACGAGAGCTGGCAAAGCTAATTTTTAAAAAATTTGTTTGTTGTAGCAACAAAAAAAGCATTTACAAGCTAAAACATTATTACTTCAAAAACTTCAGATTGTCCTTTGTGTTCCACATCTGAAATCTCCAGTTTAAAAAAAAAAGGAAGAAAAAAAAGGAAGAAAAAAAAAAAGGGGGAGGGAGCAGGGCACTACTTGAAATTAAAGCAATCTGAAGATATTCTGCATTGTAAACTCTGATGATCATATAATCTGTGATGTGGCTGCTTTTTTAGGCTTATGGTCTGACTTTTAAAGGTATTATTTTTCAGCAAGCTTTGAGATCAGCATAAGCAGCCAAAAATCAAGGATAGGATGTGGGATTTCTTACACAGTAAAGCTGGGGGGGAAAAAAAAAGTCTAGTTCTTCAGTAGACTCTTTTCGTTGTAAAGCATCTATTTTTATACTTGCATTTTGCAACTAGAGCATTTCTGTAGGTTGAAACAGCTCCGGTACTGTATTTAGTGTGTCAGGATGCAGCAGCTTTAGTGGTGGTTGCAGTTCATGGGTGGCTGAGCTGTGGACAGTTACATCCCGAACTGACACAGTGGTGGTGTGGATCCATAATGGAAATTGCGTATTCGATCCTGTCCTATCGTATTTGTGTTTGGATAAAGGCTACTTTGTCTGGTATCAAAACAAAGCTATATTGGTCAAACTTAGTAAGTATCGAAAGAATAACAGTTATGTAACAGTTGTCCTCTTCAACATCTTTAAATGTTGAATCTTAGTTCCAATTAGAGATGGAATATTAGCAGCTCCGCAATGAAATCTGATGAACCCTCTCCCCCCAACTATCTTCCAGAAAAGCAGTCTGAGAGCTAAATTTGAGCTAGGAGAAACAAATTGTAACAAATGTGTCAACAATGATCTTTTAGCTCTTAAAAATGCTTAATAATGTCCATGAAATTAATAAACTTTAAAAAAAAAGTTCCAAAATTATTTGTTACAACTTTCTGTATGTAGGAAGCTAGATCCTGATGATTTTGCCAAAGTGTATAATGTGTGAACACACACACACACAGGTGTGCGTGCACATACACACATTGGGTCTGTATACTCTGGGTGGATGCTGTCATGAATAACAAGCACGTATTGTTTCATATATGAATGCAATGCATTTAGACCTGCTCGCTGCTGCTTGGTTTTGTTCAAACAGCAACATAAAAAAAGAAGAATGGAAAAGCAAAAAACCTCTGACATTAATCAGGGCAGCTAGTTTTTTCCCTGGCTTGATTACAGAAGCAAAAGACTTTGTACAGCTTTATTTTGGAACGATGCTTTGGCAGATAGGTCTGAAAATTCTGCTTGCCTAACATTAATTTTTAAAGTATATGAGTAACTGAGGGTAGTGAATTTCTTACGATGAAGTCAAGTGTGTGTTTGAATGCTTCCTGGGTCTTTAATCCAGGGCATGCTTTGCAATTCTTGCTGATTATTTTGACTTGTTTTGTGTTTTAGGGCCCTGGATGCTGCTCCGATCTAGCAGTTTCATTCCACTACGTTGATTCTGTGACTATGTATCATTTGGAATATTTGATATATCATCTCCGTCCGTATGGGTATTTGTATCGGTACAATCCTGATTCAGCAAAGAATTCAGAAGAGCAGAGCAAAAATGAAGGACTGGAGGATAATCAAAAGCTAAAGGAAAAAATTTCTGAGAATTAATTGGACTTTGAAGAAAATGAAAAGAAGCCAGTACAATGATTAAGAGTCTTCTCAAACTCCTGCATGAAGCTTGTGGACTAAAATTACTCATGACGATTCTTATTTAAAAAATCACGTTGGAAGTACTTCCTGTCACTGTCTGTGTACAACAGCCCAGTGATGGCTCTGACTGTTTGGGATAGCGTGACCTTGCAGCCCTGCTCATGAAGATTTGAGGTCCTAAAGCTGTGAAACAGGAGGTTGTGCTGGTATGCTAATATCTGGAAGAATTTGTATAAAAACCATAGTGGACAGGTTCAAAGATAATCATACAGTATTTCTGTTCCTTTTTCTGTTCTCCTCCATTTTCTTCCAGATGTTCTGTTAGGTCAGTTCTAACATGAGAAATTGGATGCTGTGCAATCAAATACTGTGCAAACAATGGCTTTCTCTGGTATTCTCAGTATCGTGAAGTTACTGCGCGGATCTTGCCTTGTAAGGAAGGGAGAGGCATGAAAATAGAATTTCAAGTCTGCTTTGCCTTAACGACAGGCTTGTTGTTAGAGTAGGCAGAAATCCACCCAAAAGATTAATCTGAATTGTCTCAGAAATGGAATTCGCTGCTATGAGTTATTTTAAATTTTTTTAAGTCTCTTGTAGGAAACAATATGGAGAAGATGGATCGCTGCTGGTTTAGTGAGAAACCCAGAAATAGTTGCTATTGTTTAAATTGGTGAGGTGATGCGAGCTGCTTATGTATTTGCCTGTGGCTTTTTTTTTTTTTTTTTTTATATTAACTTATCTTATTAGTTGAATGGATATAAAAATTCATCTCAGAATTTCTCAGCATAAGATAAGGTAGATGCTTCTTGAAATAGAAGTTCTCTTCCATCACACCTTCCATATAAACCAGAAAGAATAGCATCTTAGCAACGTTACAGTGGCATTGTAACAACTTGGTTTCAGCCAGTATTATAACTAGTTTGTTTCCATTTAATTTTCATACCATGATACTTTGAGATTGTGGAGAGTATCTGTGTATCTCACAGATACAAACAAGTCTTATTTTAAAACTGCAGCAAAGCCAATTTGACTGCTTCCGTACGCATCTAGTTTATTTGGCTAAAGTACTTAATTTCACTTTTCTGAACTTTTTTTTCCTCCACTTTTAAAATTTCTTCTGTGTCTGCTTCTTGTTACCTTTTTCAGAACAACGTGTTAAAAGATCCTTATTTCACTCTTTTTGAAGCTGAAGTATATAGTTATTCAGGTAAGCCAGTCTGAATGCCGGAATTTTTCAAAGTGCATTAACTTTCTCCACCACTTTATGAGTATCTCTGCCTCTTAACTGAAAACACTTGGTGTGGGACAAAATAGGTGTTTTAACTGCTGAAAATTTTTCAGAGGCCAGGCCTATGTTTTATATAGTTAATATAAAACTTTCTGGTTTTCTCTTTTTCAAATTGAGTGAATAGCAGTATGGGGGATGGGGATAAGCTTGACATGTAGTGTGTCTTTATTCTACGCTTGAACAAAAGTTCCTTCATCTTTTTATCGCTTTTCACCTTCATCATATTGATGAATTTGGACATAACCTAATTACCTCCAGTCATTGTTTTGGAAAGGGCACATACTGGTAGCAGACAGCCTTATTTACTACTGCTGTCCTTCAGGATGTTCCTGGAAGAGGATGTTATCGTGAAGTCCTGGAATTTTTTTTCCAAAGGTAGTTCTTACACAGATTGGTGTTCTATCTGTTGTCCAGCAGTAGAGTTGTGACTTCCTTTCTGACCGTTGCTCTGCAGCATGATGGCAATTACTGAAATGTCTCATGGAGTTGAAATATTACATTCATCTTCTCTGCCTGAATATAGGCTGGGTTCACATATCAGGTATTAGTTAAACAAATAGTTCCTGCAGGGTTAAATCTGTTGGTCTTTTATGAGCAAGACCACCTCTGGAAGTACTGAAACGGACACGAGCTTTATTTTATGTTAATTGACTTAAGTAGAAAATTGAAACTGTATTTGTTTAAAAAAGGAAAAAGTCTCCAGTTTGCTCTAGTCAGAGGGATGCACGTCCAGAGGAGAATGGATGGTACCGTGCCGAGAGGTGCTTCCTTCTGTGAGCTAAACGTTTATCCCATGTGCAACACATGCCAATAATACTGTGAAATCCATATGGTATTGGCGACTGCAGTGCATTGTTCAAACATGCAGTTAAAATTTTCTGGAATACTTAAGGAAATTATAAAATGAAATCAAGATCCCAACTTAATCTCTTTGTAAATTCAGTCCATGTAGACGGTTTACTGAACTTCTGTACTGTTCCTTTATTGCTGCTTTCTTCCTCAGTTCATCCATCGGGATTTAAAGATTTTCTTCCACAACAGGCAGAACTGATCTTGCATATTTTCTGCAGATTTGCGTCCTATGTTTGCCCTGTGCTACCCTGTGAAGTAGCATCATTTCCTCTTCATCTTCCTTGCTATCCTGGCTATCCTGTCTCTGGGTTTTCAGTTTCATCATGCACAAGCCTCAGGTGGACAAGAGGAAGCAGGTAGTGAGATGTCTGAGCTCCACTGAGCAAGTCAAAGCAGCCACCACTGAGCTCATGATGGTGGAGGAGCTCATGGCTCCTTTTCTCAGAAGCAGTTCCCATTATTGTCTGCCGTCCAGCTGTGGCTTCTGTGTTTAGCGGAGCGGGGCAGGAATGTCCCTTTCCACAAAACATGCAGGACCTCAGAGGGAAGAGAGAAATAGAGGAACAAGTTCCTTTTCTTGAGGGAATAAGGCTAAGAACATCCTACCTTGTGATAAATAGGTGGCCTGTCTGGAGAAACAGGAGTAGCCTTTTCTTCAAACTTCCATTCTTGCTTTGTTTTAAAGTGTCCTTGTTCTTAGGCCTCTGAATCTATTTATTTTGCCTTTCTAACAGCACTGCAAAGATTTTTTTTTTTCCTTCCAGACAAGCTAGAGAAGTATCGGTTTTTACATTCTGTGATTATAACAGACTGTTGTTCTCTTTTGAACTGTCTTGACGTACCAATGAGCTGGTACCTCTGAAATAGTTGGTTTGTAGCTCACTCCCTTCAAAAGCTTCAGCAGACAAGGCTGGAATGTGAACAGTTAGTGTAATTTTCATGTACAATATTACACTACTATTAGTACTTTGTTATTTCACTCTCAGGTCTTTGTGCTTTGAGAAAGTATTGAGTTTGAGTACTTCTGCAGCGCAAGGAGGCTGTGATATTTCGGGTGGAAAGACCTTTCCAAAGCACAGCAACATAGGCCCTCTTAGGCTGCACTGATTCTTGCTCTGTGGTTTGGTTTGGGTTTGTTTCTAAAAGAGGCTTCTTTATTTATAAAACCTAAAAGCTTCCATTGGCACAGTAGTGATTTAAATGACTCATCTGAAGATTTTGAACTAGTTTTCTTGAAATTACTCGGATGTGGGAATGTCACTTAGTGTCACAGAGTAATGTGTTAGCCTTGTGCAAAGTGTTTCTTCGTTCAGAAGGAATGAGGACACCAAGAAGTTACCTTCTGGCCACTGTTCTTAACCAGAGGATAGTATTAAGCTTTGTTAGCAGAAAAAGACCAATTTTAATCTTCCTTCATTCCCAGTTAATTTTTGCAGTCTATATTGGTGTTACTGAAGAGGTCAAACGCTGGTGATGTTAGCACCGTCTCTCATTTTGCGGAAGCTCCTTTCCCAGTAACTTTCACCTTGACGGACGCTTTCTTTGTTTTGCTTGGGTGGGGGTAGATATTAAAAAATCACTTTTTCTTCACATGTGGCCATTTGTTCTGTTACTTCCAGAAGTATAAATTTTAGTGAGTAGCTGATAGACCTCTTATAAACAGTTTGCTGTCTGAGCAGGGTATCTTGTGGTTGTACGACAGAAGAGTGCGGATTATTTCTCTGATGTACCTGCTACTGATGTTGATAGTGCACGCACAGATGAAAATAGATCCCTCAAACCAGGACCACTTGGAAAGGCAATTTTGTCCTTTTTCTGTCAAGAAAAACTTCTGTGGAACTCCAAAACTGTAATTTGCTTTTTTTTACCCTATTGTATTTAAAATACTCCACAAATGTTATTAGTGCTCTAAAAGAATTGAATATCGCTGCTGGACAGTATGCTCCACTTCAAACCTGTGAATGTTTCACATTGCAGTTATTGGTAGTTGTGTCCCTAGTGGCAGGTATCAGTTGGTGACTTGTCTGGAATGATCACCGTAAGGCTTTGTTTCTTAAATACCTTCTTTGAAGTGCCTTTGACCAATTTTTAGCATCAAAATTAAGTTGAGAATTGAATAAATAAAATAAGTTATCTCATATGCAGCGCATGTTTGTCTTCATTTACCCCTCCCGTATGCTAGTAGTGTAGCATAGCTAACAAAAACACTCTTGCTTTTTTTTCTTGGGTGGGTACAGGAAAGTCAAAAAGCTTCTCACACTTGCTGTGTTTTCTGTTACTGTGTTTATGCTATTAACAAACAGCAAGCTGCCCTGAAAACAAAGACGGCATTTTTTTTTAAGTGTAAAATTAATCATAAGTACTAGTACTAGATTCACAGAAGCAGCCTGTTGTTTCTGCACTGTCCTGATTTTTTCAGTGTCTCTACCTTGTCACAGAGTCCTGAGTGAACTGGCTATAGCTGATACCCCAAAGGTAAAGCAAAGCTGTTCAAAATTAACCACCTTTTTTTTTTTTTTAAAGGATTTATTCTTTCAGTGAATCTCTTACTTCTGGGGAAAAAAAAAACCAACAAAAAAACAGTTAAGATTTAAATGTTGTGCTTTCTAACCTAGCTTTCTGCTATTCAGGCAGAACAATACTCAGCAGTAAAAGAATATTCCACGTATGCAGATGAGAAGTGTCTTCAGGTGCGAAATGGTGGTTGGACAGGGTGGGTGCAATTGTGGTACAGCTGTGTTTCATCACCTTAAGCACTGTAATAGACCCTGCTAGTTCTATGAACCTGGACTAATTAACTATTTAATTGCTTTTGACTGGGGTTCAGGCCTGTCTGCAGAGTGCAGGAAGTGTGTGACGGCTAATTTAACTGTGCTCAAAAGCTAGAATGTTTTAGCTAAGGAACAACAGCCAATGGAACGGATGAGAAATGCTCCTCTTTGAAGTTTCAGGTGCAGTTCATTCTTGTATGTGATCCTACTGTAACTTCCCATTGCCAGGATCAAACTAGATCCAGCAAATTGCAGGGTGATGGGAGTGCTGGAGCAGAACAGCAACTACAGCTGCTACTCTGGAGAAGAACTGGTTTGTAAGCGTGTGTTTGCTTTGCTTGCTTTTTAATATGTTAACAGGCCCTGTCTGAGTGTTCGATTACCAGATGTCATAGACCTGAGTGAAATGCCACTCGATGAAGGTAAGCTCTCGTAACCTGCTCGCTTACAGAAGGCTTCACTGGCTTGAAGGAATTTTCCTCGGGTTCTCTCTGTGCTAGTGTGAACTGAAAAGAAATTTAAGTAAATATTTTACGCCCTGGGACTGCTGAGGTTGTTCTAAGCAACGGGGGAAGATAAGCCTGTGTATTGCTGGTGCTGGCTCTTGCTGCAGAACGGTCAGCAGCCCTTCCTGCTTTCTGACAAGGTTTCACCTTTACGAGGCCCTTCTGTGGGTTCTAGGAACGCAGTAGTGAGGGACGTATTCTGGCAACTGTTATGAGGAATAAGTGAGAAAATCAGCGCCCTGCCCTGAACGTTCATTGTGCCACATGTAACGTACTTTGACATAGACAGTAGAACAGCCAGATCATGGGATTGCACTTCTAGGTGTTAGAGTGGTATTTGGCAAAGTATTTGGAAAAGTGGTTGTTTACTTCAGAAACGCAGCCTGAGCTCTCAGTTTTTTCAGCTTTCTAATATATATTCCTGCAAGACTGCTTGAAATGCCAATAAAAATAAACTGTAGAGATGCCCTTGGCGCTGGTTAGTCAGGAAAACGTGGCAGGGAGACTACTTCTGAGTATGCTTTTGTTAGCACTGGAATTCGGATCTGATGTGGTTCTGAGCAGTGACCCACGCGTTTTCGTTTTAACTCTTCTTTCCAGACTCCCTCAGCCCCTTGTCCATGGTGCCTAACGCTCCTCTTCTGTGGCCAAACTGCAAGCTGCGGGGTACAGTCCCTTCTTTCCAGCCTCCCACAGGCATGCCTTTCTGTAAGCTTTCCTTTATTTCGGGCAGGTTGAAGCCTGGAGTGCCGGAGCCTGCAGTGGTACTGACCAAGACTTCACACCCCAGGCTCCCAGTTCTACTTGGGGCTTCTCTGGTGTGGGGGACAGCTCTCAGGATAAGAAACTGTCAATTCTTGTGCACATTCAAGGTCTTACCTTCTTTGGACGTGTGATTTGTCTTTTAAACAGATTTTTGATGAGTCTGTGATACCAGCTGGAGGTATTTCACCCTCCCAAGTGGGTGGGTCAGCGTGTGAAATGCTTTGCTGCCTTCAGTATAGTGACTAATTTACAACATATTTTAAAACCAGCCTAAATGAGTCGCTGCCAAAGCAAGAGTTGGAACCATGCTTTATCATCTGATGCGTAAAATACTTCCCAGCCTGGTAGGCTGGGCAGGTGGACTGGCTCCAAGCTCCAGCAGCCAGTTGTGCTAGAAATAGGAAAAATGTTTTCCTTAGAGAAGAGGGCATGCTTCGTAGCAACATTCTTCTAAAAGGAACCTGCATTTTCCAACTGTCCGCTAAATGTTGCTACAGTCATGATCTTCCTTTTTACTTTTGCACGAAGAGGTGGACGGTCTTTTGCAAAGCCGAGTGGTGACAAAATTTCAAATTTAGGTTGGAATAGAGACGGGAGTTTCACAGGAACGTTTGTTAAATAAAAAGTTGATGTGAGCAGCTTGCTTATTTCCTTTCATTTAAACTCCAAACCTTCCTGAGCTCGCAGCACAGTTCTTCAGCTGTACAGAACCAAACTACGGCACGTGTGAACCCATCACTTTGGCATCTTGAAGTCAAGAAGGTTGGTTTGTTCCTTTGGATTTCTAACCTGGCTTCCAGCAACTCCTTGCCACCTTCTGATTTCTTTCCCTTCCTGGGATAAAATCCTAATCCACTGCAAGAAGAGGAGTTCTGTCAGTAACTTCAGTCACTTGAAGAAACGGATCAGCCCCCACCCACTGCTGCTGCTTCCCAGTTCCACCCTGAGCCTTCAAAGTGTTCCCCAGAGGCTCTGGATCCTGCATGGTCTCAGGTAGTCAAGGTCTTGACTCTTCCTCCTCTAAGGACCAATCAAAAAGACTTAGAAATTAACGTGCATCATACCCTGCACCTTCAAAACCTTGGACTATGATTTTTTTTTTTTTTTTTCCTTTCACTGTCCCATATGAATTCTTAACTAGGAATCACCCGAATGTTGTGCTGTTAAGTGTTGTCCTCCTGCCCCTGGAGATGGAGAGCGGAACATTTAAGACAAAACATTCACTTAGGGCCAAATCCTGAATACTTGGTAGAAGTCAAACCAAATAGATGTCTCTGTAATTAATTCTTTTAATTAATTTTGTCTCCAAACTCCTCATTCTACTAAATTTGTGAGTATGACAAAATTGTTAAATGTCTGTTCTCTGGCTATTCTGTCACAAGAGGCGGAGGTGGCTGTAAACTGGAGTCCATATCCTTCCTAGATTTATAGCCCAGGTGAGCACCCTGCATGGATTAAGCACAAATCACATGAAAATCACACCTGAGGGTCTGAAATTTTGCCGGCACAGAAGAGCGCTTCACCAGCACCAGCAGTCTGAACATTTACCATTGAAAACAGCAGGTTCCACATATTCTGCTGCGGATTCTGTTGAAATCTGATCTAAAATACAGTTAGTGTTTCAAGGACAGGTAGGGTAATCATGTCTAAAACCAATTATCAAACACTGTTTAGGAAAGCAAACTCCCATTCAGGAGCTGGCAGTGCTTCAGAGTTAACAATGAAGCCTTTGTTCCTATTTGTCAATGTTACCCTGGTTTTTAGCAGAGAGTAGGTGGTGCCTGTTTACCAAGATTAAAACATCATTTGTCAGTCTAATCAGCAGCATCCTGCTTTTAAAGCATTTCCCTGTCAGCCTGCTCGGGTTTATCCTTGTCAGCTTGGAAAAGCTGCATTTCATGCATCTTGTACAGGCTCATTCAAGAAGATATTTCTCAAAATACATTGGCCATGTTTTCATTTTAGGTAAGCTTCATCGTGTCTACATGCAGAAGTTGTCTTATCAGTAGATAAGACAGTCATGCCCAGCTCATCCTAGAATCATTTAGGCTGGAAAAGACCTTTAACATCATCAAGTCCAACCATTAACCTAACACGTAGATCTGAACGTTCACAAATTCCCACCAATCCCAACAGGAGAAGTCTTGTGCATCAGCTGTATCTTCTTGCTTTAAAGCCATCACTACAAAAGTAGCATTTGGGTCTTATTAGTCACTGTACAACACCTAATACTTTCTCCAGGAGAAGGGGTTGGATTCACAGACCCTTTATTATTTTATATAATCCCATTGTAATTGCAGAAAAATCCCCCTGTAAATACAGTTATGCCAGTCCACACTTTGGCCAGCACTTCTTGTTCGAGGCGCTTTTGGCAATACCAACTGAAACCCAATCCCTTACAGATGCGCGGTGGCTTTCTGGCTTGATCTGGTCTTTGCCATCCTGATCAGTCCAGCAGCGAAGAGTTTCGGTATTGCTGAATGTTTTTTCGGGGAGTCTCAGTTGTGGAGTTCATGTATATTTTCAGCAATGCTTTTAAAAAGATCCCTATGTACTGGTGGCAAGCTGCTGCCCGGAATGCTCCGTCCTCATGAGCCTCAAAGAAGTGTAGGGAGCACAAGTTACTCTTAGGTGTATCATCTGAAAATTTTACTCCTGACATCACTAAAATGAGGAACTGTTATAAATGTTTAACAGCATGAAAAAAAAAATGAAAGCATGGTTGGAAAAAGGACATATTTGCTGTGTCCTATTAGCTAAATATATTTGTGGGCTAGATGTCTGGGCCCAAGAGTGAGAAAACAATCGCAGCATATAAATGAACCAAAAATGTTAGCTGGTCCTATGGCTTTTGCAATTAAGCAAAGGTTAATTGCATGCATTCAGCTGGCCCACCTAGTATTTTGACTTCTAAACATATAATTGTGCACTGTAGAGGTAACGTCTCTAAGATAAGGATAAGGAAAGAAAATGGTAGTATGAGGAACGTGGGTGTCCCACACTAACATATCAGTCAGTAGTAGCAGAGACATTCTAACGTGACTGGAGAGAGGACAAACCTGTTTGATTCCACACTTTTATGCTGCTGCCTGAATTGCTGACCTCCAACACCTGTTTCATCCGAAGCATCTCTTCAAGGGAAGACCTTCATGATGGGTTTTCTGTGTACAGCTGCAATGCTTTGTACTTCCAGCTGCTGGGCAGCACCTTCTTTAGTTAATACCCACCCAAGCCTTTCCATCTGACTGCCCTCAGGAGCTTTGGGCTGTTCAAGATGGTCAGGTTGGAGAATGAGGCTCGCTTTCAGAAGATATTTGCCTGTATGCAGGAGTGTAGAGGCCTGAGTAACCCAATCTGACCTTGTAGTTGACT